AGATGAATTTTTAATTTTGTTTATATATTGTAATTTTTTAGCTACTATTATTGACTTTATTAAGAGTTTTTCATATTTTTTGTAGTATTTTTTTTATTATTATTAGAATGTAACGTCAATATTTTTAGTAACCTTTTATTTCGACAAGATATTTTTATACCTGTTGTAAGCCAATATTTTTTAAAACCAGTCCTAAATTTTATTTTCTTTTTAGGTATACAATTGTTTAAAGTTTTTATTAATTTATTATGAAATGCGTTATAATTTTCGTTTATATCTCCATTTGGTGCTATAACTTCGTGCCAATTTACATTAGCAAGTTGTAATTTAAACTTTAGTATGTTCGTTTCATTAAACAATCTTTTCTCTATGTGCTTGCCTTAACTTGCAAAGCAAACCCTATACCGCTTGGCCACGGCGGCTTTACTAAAGCTGGTTGAAATTTGTATTCTGTATTTAGTAAGTACTATACCTTAAAGATCAAATTGGCTTCAAAACGTTCTTACAATGTCATTCACAAATGAGACGACCAGGGAGTCACACCAAAATAAATTTAACGGCTTACAAGTTAATGATTAAGTTTGTTTAACAATTTTCTCCGCATTTTTGTGCTCAGAACCAAAAGGTCAGTAAATCGGCTTGGCGGGTCAGGTTTCTTGTGTATATGACTGTACTTATGATATAAAGTAAATTTCATTTCGGTTCCTAATTTGCTACGGTGCCCCAACGCGAACTCACCGTCTTTGGGGCTAATGATCCGACGTAGACGTTAAAGTAACACTGCATATGAATTTGAACATATTCGGAGTTCTTGAATCGAGAACTTTGTGTTTAAATCGCAAAGTTAATCTATAATTACTGTAACTGTAGCAATCCAAAATAATTAAACGATCGATGATACTCTACCACGTCTTTTCCCTAGCCCCCGAAACGTATAAAAGAATCCAGTAGGCCTCCCTTCAAAGACCTCTCTCGAAGATACTTCCTTAATCATATCCTTTCCAGAGACGACAACAACGTTTTTGGAGCCGAATCTTAAACCAATCAAATCTCCATATTCTTGAGCCCACTCGCTCCAAATATCGTGATTGTAATTCAATTTCCTCCTTTTCCACCATATAGCCGGATAATTTCCTATTATTGGGAGAGAAGGTGGACCTAAAAATAAGCATGATATTAGTAATGCTCAATAAAATTAAATACTATTTAACAGTGAATAATAAACAAAGTGAAAAAGAATACGTAGTTAACCGTGAAGTTAACCGTGACCATGGAACCTGTAAAGGGCCCGAAACCTTGGTTGGTTTGAAAAAACAAATATACGCGATTCAAATCCGGAAAAAAAATTGTAAAAATAAAAAATAACAATAGTTATTTTAGAACTTCATCATTGTATAGAACTATAAAACGACGATTCTGAAAATATTACCTTAAATGTCTTAGAACATAAAATCATAAATTAGTCATCAGTTATTTGTACTAATTTCATTGTACCAAAAAAATTATATTGTTAGTGTAGTAATAAAATGTCAAGAACCTGGAGGGTAGAACCGTGGTCTTCTAGAAGCTTCCATTAGAACACACCAAATTATTATTATAATAATAAGTAAGGCCCACATGTCTTTACACTTCAGACAAAATTCGATATAATGATCTTCGAGTCGTTTATTGTAAGAAAAACTTAAAGGTATTGCATCCTTTGAAATTTGGCTTATCTCAATGTATTTTGTTAGAAGATACAAAAGCCATTATCCTAAGGTGATCTAAGGGTTACACTTATGTTATCTGATTTTCTTATGCATCTACGTGTTTGCTTACATAGTACCTCATTTATGCTCACTCCTGCCACTTTATGCTCAGATGTATCAGGTGTATGTACTGTCTGGGATCATATAAATATATCTAAGTATAATATTAATAAAAAGCCCTCTGATTGGATACTGAAAGTATATTTTATGTGGAATTATTTTTTTATTATGAGGACCTCTCTAAAATCGCGAAATCTTTTACAATTTGAAAAGGGCCTCAGTAATAAAAGTTATTTGGTTTCATGTGCTAAAAAGGATGTCACATAATAAATTAGAACTTATTCTAATGTATACATAATATAACTGTCAGATGATGTACCCTTTATTGTTTTTATTAATATACCGTACAATTGTAAATCTGTAATCTATCTAATAAAATATAAAAAATAAAAATGTGGCATTTTTATTCCTATCCTTTTTACATAGCGTACCTATATAGATAGCACTAAATAACTACAATACAAAAACGTCCTACTTGAAATTTAAACATGTTTCTTGTATGGACTCTTAAATTATTTACGTGAAAAATTAATGAATAAATAAAAAAAAACACTAAGTCTAAATTCTAAAAACTTGAAACCTATTATTTTACATCACTGGACTACTTATATTTTGCGCTTCCCTCATCTAGTCGGGTGGTGGCTGGACGCTGATCGAAACGGAAAATTTAAAAAATGCCTTGTTTCGATTTTTCCTTTACATATTTTATTAATTTAATTTTAATTGTATGCCATTTCCTTCATATTAAAAAATTTTATCAAAGGTAGCGTGAAGTAATTTGAACATGCCACGTTAGTGTGGCCTTTGGCCTTTGGCCTTGGTCGACCAAGGCTCGGTCACCACTCGGCTCGTAAAATATTCTTTCTATTTTTATATTCATCTTTCTTTTCTATTTTACTTTCTCATTTGCCTTTTCTTTCTCTTTGCCTTTTTTCTTTGTCTCTATTCCTTTTTCTCTTTTTTCTTCCATCATTGAGATTGTTTTTACCGGTATCAAAATAAGGCCACTTAACGTTATAAAGAATCCAGCTACATAAAATGCAATTGCATACCCATAATTATCTTTTATTAAAGCTGCTATCGGTGTGCTGATTAAATTCCCTATACCTAAGAATATTAACATCATTCCCGTGGCATTAGTTAATTTGTCTAAACCATATAATGATACTAAAATTAAACTTCTTAAAACAGCAACACCAGCTATAAAAAATCCAAAAATAATGCAGTAAGTATATTGATAGTATACGTGGTAGGAAATACCAGATATGACTGTACTTATTCCTGCAGCTGAACATCCAAATGCGAATAATTTTAAAGGATCGATTTTACTGGCAAGCAGACCTAACACTAACCTACCTACCGCATTTGATGCACCGATTGCACTAACGAACAGTGCACAGTGCATCGGGTCTACTCCTTCTTGTAAGTTTCGGTCCTGTAAATATACATATGGTACCAAAAACCCTACATATGTTAAAAACCCACTACTACAGAGCAATATAAAGGACCATTTTTTCAAAAGGCTTGGATCCATCATAGTTGCGAGCACTCTCCTCATAGCCGTAGTCATCACTCTCCCTTTGTCTTGAATGTCTTGTACTGTCAACGCTCGCGACACGGCCATTTGATATTCAAAGCCAGTTCTCGATTCTCGTTTTGTGTCCATCTTGCTTTTTTTGTAAGCTGGTAGATCTTCTATTTTGCCTTGATAGAAGACATCGTCTCTATACAAAGGTCGAGACTCAGTAACATGCCGATTCCAATGAAGAACACTGCTCGTACGATCTTTAGCTTGTTTTCCTCCTTCTTGTTTATCTGATATTACCTCAATCTTTTCACTATTTTTCGATACAATAGACTGCACTTGCTTTAATTGTTTAGAAGAACTTGCTACGTCTGGGTTAAGCGGAGCAAGCGTAGTCCTTGATGCACCTGCAGTCGATGGTCCAGGCGTTTCTAGTTCAGTTTCTGTATCTGCTTCCACAACAGCAGCTACAGTCGGAAAATTTAAATTAGAAACAGCGTTAAAAAGTCGTTCTGTTACAGTTGGAAGAAGGTTGTCTGTTTTAGCGTATGATGGCGACGAACGAGCTCCACTCCGGTCTGCTGCCGTACTCATCACGCTCGGCAGGTAAGTCACGGTTCGTATCTGAGGGACGTCTTCCTTAGCCTTTGCTACTTGAACAGATAGCAAAGGCCTATAAGTTAGCCCCAGAAAAAATGTTATTGCGAAAAATCCTGAATGTAGCAATGTAGCAGTACGCCATCCGCCTAGTTTTACTAGGTAAGTATTTGCAGGAAATAGTGTCATAACACCAACGCTCGATCCGCATGTTCCTATCGCCATAGCCACAGAGCGTAACCTCTCAAAGTAAAATCCCACAATCAATGAAGACGACATATTTATGAGAGCATATCCAAATCCAGCGATAATACCATAAAAAATGAATAACGTCACGTATACAGTGGTAAAATATGAACTTAATAAAGCAAAAGTACACACAACTGAGCCACACATCGCACACTCCCTGAACCCATACCTATTAATAAGAGCAGATGCCAACGGGCTCCCTATGAAATACAGTGCTACTGATGTGGAATTTATTAAAGCTACTGGTGAATTCGAAACTTTCAGATCTTGAGATATATCGTTAAGTAGAGCGCCAAATGTATAAGACACTCCATCTAAGATAAAAATGCTGAAAAATGATGCGAAAACAACGACCCAACCCCAGCCACCGTCAAGAGGTACAGTTATTTGAGCAGTAATTTCAATCTCTTCGCCACCCTCGCGATTATCAGGCCTGTTTATAAGTCTTGATGGTGTTGCTGATTGTATATTTTTCACAGACATAATTATTTTCTATGATACATGTCTATGAATGTATAATTATCAAAGAAAACACCACTTCCTATGGGATGACTTAACTCCTGACTTGACTCCAGGATGCAATAATTACTATGTACTATTTACACATGAAAATCTCCGCATGTCTTGGCAAAATCTAAATTTTGTCGTATCAATTAATGGCACTTTTATTTACATTGCCCACATATACTTAAATGGGATTCGTAATTTCATTCGGGGCTACAACGACATGAAGTCATGACTTACTTGATTTTTAACGGAGTTTGACTTAACAATATGACGAATCTGGCAATCTGGCAACTGAAAGACGAGGAATTAAAAAAATTATCATTTTTAAAAGTAAAAAATTTACCCATAGATTTATTATATAGGTACCCATAGATTGGCAATGCAGGTGAAAGAGCGTTAGTATACACGTATGTTAGAGCGAGATAGGTAGACGAGACTACTTCATTATACGCTATGAGCCTGTATGAACCTAGGGTCAGCTGACAACGAAATAAATTTCGTTTATTTTTGAAAAATAATTGGTTTTAAAATGTGAAATAGTGTTAAACGGACGTTTATTAGTCATGGTAACGTGTTCAGTGCCCGGATGTAACTCATCTAAAAATGAAAACTCGCAGAATTGTACATTTCACATGTAAGTCCTATTTAAATTTTTAGCTGTCTAAAAGCACTACCACAAAAGCTTTTTACATAAATATATCTGTAAAATTATAATTCTATACTAAGTCTATGAATTTACCAATGTACTGTGCAGTGCGGATATTCTTCCCATGGTTTTTCTTCATTTAATTAGTTTAATATGAAGCTTTGCTCGCCTATAACAAGTTGTATGAAAAGTTTAAATACAAGATACATTTTTTTGTTGTTATTTTATGTTATGTTGAATTCCCTTTACAACAAACATTTTTTTTATAACATCAAGTGACGGGACGAACAGGTCGTGCGCCTGATGGTAAGCTACACGCCTGTCCTTAACAGTTACGGATAAACTATAGTTGTTGATAATAATATTAATTGCTTTGCTCTCAATATATTCAGTTTATGTCATAGATTTAGTATATACTAAATCTATAGTTTATGTACACACATCAGCACATCAACACATTGACGTATCTTGTTCCATTGCAATGGAGGCGATTTTCGAACAAAAACGTGTAGTCTGATGTGCCGTTGTCCGTACTTACTAGTTAGCAAAACACATTTATTATATAATCAAAACTGTCTATAAAAACTCATATATAATTCTGTTCTTTGGTTCAATGTGCCGTAATTATGAACATGATCGTAGTAACATCAATTACTACAACAACAATTAACTTGTGTTAAAGTGCTAATACTCACGGCTTAATAAAAAAATATTGAACCGTTTGACAGTGAGAAATGACATTCGCTGAAGACGAGGTAGTATGGTCTTTGAGCTTAGCCTGTCCTTTTTCTGTCTGTTTTTTTACAAAGATTAACTATATTTTAAGTATATTATGAAGAAAATACGAAGAAAGAAATAGTGATGAAGAAAGATAGAACTATGTTCCTTATTTTAAATCAAATTATAAAAGAGTTTATCCTGAAAATTCCAATAATTACGAATTCAAAGTTTTTGTCCAAAGTGACAATAGTGTGATAATATGTCACAGTGAAAACATAAATATTGACCACCGCCGCTTAAAAGACTATTTAGAAAGCCCATACAAGAGAACTAAGTTATTTAAGAGAAAGTAAAAACATAAGGTTGTAGAACCCCTATGGAAAATATTTAATGAGGATCCTATAGATTTATATATACTAAATCTATGGAGGATCCCGATTGGCTCAAAAGGCTTGTATCCAAGCCGAATCTCTAAATTTAAAAAAAAGACATTTGACAATTTTGACATTACTTGACGGTTATCTAATGCGCGTGTAGCGAGTTAGCGAGTGCTCATTTTGGAGGGAAAATAAAGATAAATTCTCTTACACCAGAGTAAATTTTGTTATAATTTAGTGATAATAACAATAATTCAAAAAAATATTTCATGTTTGCTGTACGATACAAACTTGAAATAAGTTAAAATGCCTCAAACATCGATTACTTCGTTCTTTAATAGCCGAAAACGACCTGCATCCGAAGACATAGTTGGGTCCAAATCAAAAATCGCACATATCGAAAAAAACATAGGAACTGGCTCCAGACCTGTGCGCAAAACTATCGTCCAAAAATGTAATATCAAGGATGTAAGAAACTCATTTGCAGTGCCCAATGGAATTAAATTAAATGGTCTGAAGAACACCGTTACCACACACGACTGTACGATTCAAATCTGTCCCTCCAAAAATGTGCCAGAGCAGAAAGATGTGAAAGTTTTTGCTAAGAAACAGAATACTTCTAATATCTCTAATAATACTGAGCTGCCTAAAGTTGCAAATGTGAATTCTGCTCGTAAAGAATTGAGCTTAGGGGACATTCGAAAAAAGTTATCAGGCAGCTCGAGGCTTGCGGAGCTGCGAGCGACTGCCGAGCGCCTCAGCAAGGGTATACAGGATCTGAAAGAGGCCAGTGACAAGAAAAACCTTAGGGAATTTAAATCTATTCATGTGGAAGTACCTTCAAGGTTAGTTTTTATTACCAAATGTTGTCATCGAGGAATTGGCAGCCACAACTGCAGGTGCCACCAAAATTGCCTGTGTTGTTGATGCTAATCAGACCAGACCCATTCATGCATTAGTTGCTCTAACAAAGTTGTGGAGATTTCATGCTTATTTTTCTATTCATATACACTAGGTCGACTAGTTGCCTTCGCTTGCTCACTGAAAACGACAACCTTCTTGGTGTAAACACTGAGTTATTTGATGCTGCCAAGGTCAAGTAAGTATCACTGATGGGCACCTTATTTGCCTTTGGCGAGCATCAGTCGTTCAAACAAGCTTCAACTAGTCAGCGGCTGGCTCCCACCACGATGCGCATACTAGGGGCTGAAGAATGCCTACAAACCCAATCAGTTTTGTACTATTAGTAGTGTTTCTGTACGTAAACTTGTATTTAATGAATTGGTAATTTCGGGCGAAGGCAAAAGTCGACTCGGTATAAACAGCACATCGACTGCACCGCACAGTGATCAAAACATCAGTACCGCAAAACGTGTTCAAAAGTCGAAAAATGAGACATTTCGGGGCAATTGTTACATAATCATAATCTTGATAAATTTTGCTATATGTTGCTATTAAATACTATCCATTGTGTTTATAAAATAAGAGAACAAATTTGCAGAATTAGGAAACGTGACAGAAAATATAAAAATATTGCTTTCAGAAGTTATGAGTATTTATACTAAAATATTTCAAGCTATTATTTTGAATATCAATGTAATATCAGTCAGTGGTTTTTCGAGAACCAATTATATATTATTATTATTATTATTATTAAAACTTTGTGGCTGGTGAGCCCACTTAGGCAAGATAAAAAAATTTCAATGCCCACCACCACAATAAATAATTGAAACACATTTTTTATATTAACTTAAAACAAAAAAAATCGCAAGTAAAAAATTATGTTTGTAGTGTAGTTTAAATAAACAATTCAGGTTTTTTTGCGGTAGCACCCCCTGGACAGCATCAATGCCCCCCAATTGGTTCCGAGGCCCCTACCGCCTCCCAAGGACACTTCAACACTCACTCGAGGGCGGTTGGGACCACTTTAGCAAAGTATGGGGTAGAATTAAATATAATAATATAATAAAAAATAATATAATAATATTCTATGGAATTGAAGTTACAAATGTCGAATTTTATTTGTTAATGTTTTGTGTAAACCTCCTTTACTTTTGCATTACTTCTATGGTAGTAAAGAACCCTAATTCCATTTATTTTCTGTTATAAAGTCAATTAATTTTATTAATAAGGAGTTTAATTGTTTATTTATTTTGTGGATCAATAAGGCCTCAAAACGGGTTCAAAGTAAGTACCAAAACCAAAATATATTTAGTCACAATATGGAATAGGGATAATATAATTATGCGAGTTTATGAATAAACCAATATGAGTGCCTTTCTCCTTTAAGGTACACTGTTTTTAATTATCCAGAAAGGTGAACTATGCAATGTAGTTTTTAACTTTCCTGAAAAAAATATTTTAAGAAAAGTACAGAAGTTGGAAGAGAATACTTAATTCTCGAAATTAGCTGCCCAGAAAAACACTTTCCAGAGTTAAGATCGATATTTAAAGACTATTTTATTTTAAAATGGAGACAGTGTAATTAGTACTGCAAAATGTTTTTAGAAAAAGAGAAAGACTGACATGCATTTTAATAAATATTTCAGTGCATTTCTTAACAAGGCTGACCTTCATCAGATTTTCTGAATGCAAGCAATTCTACAAAACATAAATACATGTATTATATGTAATATAAATAATAAAATGAATATATAAAAATACACAACTCAAATGAGTTTGAGTAAGTAATAAGTAAAATTAAAAAAAGCAGAAATAAAAAAAACGCGTTTTCATGAAATCATGCTTATAAGAAACTGAGTCTATTAGCATTAAAAAAAGGAAATTATATTAATTTTGTATGAAAAATAGTTTATGAAATTTGACCAATTTCGGCTGTCCCGATCTTTTTCGTCCCATATAATGAAATGATCCATACACGCTGAGATGATTAGCACAAAAAAATTTGATAAATTTTTATTATTATGAACTACTATATTAATTTTTATGAACTACTCACACTTGACCAAAAAATTGACTATGCCAAAATTGTTTTCACAAAAAAGACTTGGTTCCTAAAACAGTTTCCATGTCTCTTCTATGGTTTCGGATTACACCATATTGTCCCATTTAAAAAAACACCAGAGGTGTATGTTTCTAAATAAATATTATATAAAATAAATAAAAATGGCAACTTTTTTTTCCAAATTTTGCCATTTTTACTTATAATATATAATAATACCTATAAAATTGAATATATAATACCTATAAACATAATGATATATAAAAGTAGTTTAAGAGCATTAAAACATGTTATATTAATAATAAATAAATACTTTTATAGTTAAGTACAAAATGATGTCTTAAGGCACTGATACGTGATCGTTCACTATGGGCCTCATAAGAAGGCTCAAGGTCGCCAAAGGGCAATGGAAAGGGCTATGCTCAGAGTTTCGTTGCGAGATAGAATCAGTAATGACGATATCCGCAAAGGAACCAGAGTAACCGACATAGCCCTATGAATTGCAAATCTTAAGTGTCAATGGGCAGGGCACATTGCTCGCAGAACAGATGGCCGATGGGGCCGAAGAGTTCTCGAGTGGCGACCGCGTACCGGAAGGATCATTCGTAAGGTGCACTGATCTGGTAAAGGCTGCGGGAATCCGCTGCATGCAAGCGGCGCAGGTCAGGTCGTTGTGAAATTCTTTGGGGGAGGCTTATGTTCAGCAGTGGACGTCCTGTGACTGTAATGATGATACAAAATAATTTTGATCACGTTTTCGGGTTTCGGCCCCACTGTGTGTCACCTTCATCAGCCGATTGCGCTTGTCGAAAAGGCAGCAGTGGACTCGGAGTAAACAGTGGGTTGACAAGGTGTAATGGTCTGCCGAAGGCGACAGTCCACCCTGTGTAAACATGCCAAACGCCGCAGCGTGACGTTCACAAAAAAAATTGTGAGAACAATACTTTGTTTATCTTAATTTAATCTATCTGAAACGAAATTAAAAACAATTTATAACAAAATTCGAAAAAGAATTTTGTCTAGATTTGTTGGTCCCTTTTTATTGGTTGGTAAATCTCATCAAATCTAGATATGTTTATACATATCTAGATATATATCTGTGGTGCAGACCAACCTAATATACATAGTTATGTACTGTTATGCATGGAGAATATCAAACTGTTTTGTTTCCATAGGGTTAAATTAAGCATTTACCTCATATTTACCTACAATTTTTTTTTTTATTCCTACTCAGGTTACATAGACCAGGATTATACATATTATTATAAACACATATCTTATAGACTAACACTATAATGAAACACTAATCAAATATAAAATTAAATGAAATCTATCTTACACAAAAGTATCTTGCTTCTAACTTTCTTTCTTTTTCAATGCATATTTTATATTAATACAATTTAATAAATGGTTTTATTATTTTCAGTCCAAGCAAGAAAGCATTCATTCAAAAAGAACTTTCTCCTAAGAAAGAAATTTGCTCTCAATACCTCATTTCCCCGAGGAAGGTCATTATTAGTCCCATCAAGAGTCCAAGCAAGGTGAGAAAAATTTAAATAAATATCTCAATGATTATAGGTTTTTATGACTACCTTTACATATTTTTTAAATTACAAAAAATAATTGAAAAAGATGTTCCAACAAAAATTATGATTAATCATCACATTAAGACTTCGCATTTTATGAATTGTATTAATTAATTGGCTGATTTTTAAATATTCTCCTCATCTGTCTGTCCCTCACTGCTGAGGATCGTGTCTTTGATCAAGTACACCATCAATCAATCTTCTCCACTACACTCTGTCTTTGGCTAGGTGGAATGCGCTCACTGGTCCTGCCAGACTTTCAGCCTCCTGGTCACACCATGGTTTCGAACTTCGATTTTGAAATATAAACATTAAAATATACTATTTATATAAATTATCTTTATTGTATAAAATTAATTAAAATCGTAAATGCACTATGTCACATCATGTTATTTTTTAGGCTTCTGTGATGTACTGGAATAGGCGTCAAATACTGTTTACGTAAAATAGTTTTTATGTTCAAAATGTATAACTATTAGTCATTTAATAAATTAGTAATAAACAACATATAAGATGAATTTATGGTAACAATTACAGTACTGTACTCCTTTATTATTTCTTTTTTTTTTACTTCACTTAGGTACCGGCATACATTCGCCATGCATCCTTGGCCTCATCACCAACAAGTCTTCCTCTGCCTCATCAGTATCGAATCCTAGCTGAGCTCTTCCGTGGCATGGAGACCGTCGTGGCGTTACTTTACAACAGGGATGAAAAGATCACATTCAACAAACTCAAAACTTCAGTGCAAGAAATGCTTAAACGAAACTTCACTGAAAAGCACTTGGCACAAATTAAGCAACTAGTGCCTGATTTCTATAATTTTGAGATTCGAAAGGGAAAAAATTTTGCTACATCTGCACAAAAAGAAACATATGAGCTTGTAATATCTCCAAATATCCCCTCTGATATTAAAACAATGAATCCAAGTGTCCTGTTGGAAAGACGGAGATACTTTTTTGATACTTTACTCCAATTGGCTAAGAAACATCATGCCCAATTTTTGGCAACTCTCGATCCCCCAATGATTATTCCAGATGATAAGCTAACACGTTGGCATCCAGAATTCGAAATTGAAAAGGTTCCAGAAGTTGAATGTGCTAAACTTCCTGAAATCCCTAACATGGAGAAATTGTCCTCTGCTCAAGATGTTCTCTCAAAGGCGCGTGAACTATTCAAATGTAACACGAAAATGGAAAGAGCTTTAGAAAAATTAGCACAAGCACAAGCCAGAGGATTGACTGAGCAAGAAAAGATGATAACTGGTATGGACAACAGCAAAACAATCACAAATGTTGCTACACAAACTCATCAACCTTCTACTAGTGTAGTAAATATTATAAATCCTGCACTTCGCAACTTACCGGCCGCTTTGCTTGAAAAAGTAAAGGCTAAGCAGGCTGCAAAGGCCATTGAAGCAATGACCAGGTCATCGCAACGCGACGAGAAGTTTATGATCTACAGCCGTCTGCCTGATTTAGCAAGAACATTGAGAAACATATTTGTAACAGAGAGAAAGAATGTACTAGCATTAAACATTATTCTCTCCAAGTTGGAGAGCAGTTTCAAATCGAAAGTATCAGCAAGTGATTTGCAAAGAGATATTCAAAAGCTTGGTGAAGAAACACCAGAGTATATAAAACTCCATAATATTAGAAATACAGCATATCTAAAATTGGACAAAAATGCGGACTTAAATAAAATTACTAGCAAGTTGGAAGCATTGGCAGAAAAATATAAAGAATGATTAAACCAAATAAGGTAGATTGACATACAAGATCAAGACTGAGTAAGTTATTTAATCTTTAGTTTCATACTTTATTAGTTATTTAGAAATGGACCACATTCTCATAATATATTAAACGGAAATAACTCAATTATTTGTTATATACAACAACTAATTAAACATACTTCAATATTTGGACATTTTAGTGTACCTATTAAATTTGTTTTCTATTATCGTTATTACAAACTAAGCTAAAATCATTTCGTGATGACATAATTTTATTTACACATGTCCATTCTTTACTTTCTAAATCTATGTAGAGATTACTGTTTGTCATATAATTTTCATAAAAAATATGAAGTGTTTGTGTAAGACATTTTACATTATTTTAGTTTACTTTTATTAAGTATAGTAAATGTAATGTGACTTCCTTTTTTTATTATTTTATTGTGTGGTAGTTTAAACAAATAAAACATTGCATATGCTTTAACTGTTTTTATTAATAAATACTGACAAACAGTTTGGTAAATTTATTAAATAATTTTATATAAATATGCATAGAAGTTGTAACAATTGTATGTCATTATAGAATATTATTAGCTGTAAGTAAATACGCTTGAAAAGAGGCATTTTCTGTGAAATCATAATATTTATAATACATGACAATAAGAAATATAGTGATAATGTCACTTTATTTATTCAGATTCCAGAAGTAAGTCATAGTTTGGAGTTTTTCCTGGTTGATAGCCTTCCATGACTTGGAACAGGATATTATTGGGCACCAGATACTGGCTCACAGCTGGATCTTCCAGCATATCATTTATATACTTCGTCTGTAATAATTACACATTAGATTATTGGTCTTTAAAATATTTGTGTTACTATAAAGATTTCAGTTTTAAAATTCATCACATAGGGAAGTAAAGAAGATTAAGACGCGGCAGCATTTTTATGCAGTTCCTTTAAATTGTAAAGAATTTACAGTAAGGGGCTAATAGATATAACAAAATCTGTGCGTCGATGATATATTCAAAATTATCGTAGAACGTACATTGTATCAATGACGACAAAATTCTTACCAAAAGTTTGTATTTTTGTCCATCGATCGTAGCCCTGTCGTCCTTTTCCTTAAATGCCAGCAATCTCTCGAACCAGGGCCAGATCATATAATCAGCGTAGCCCGGCTCCGCGCCGTCCAAGAACTTGGTGCCACGACTTTTGAGTTGTTCTTCTACAAATGTAAGAGCCTTATGGAACGCTGTCATATGATCCTCAGTAAGGCTCTCCGGATTCATTATTAACTTGTAGAATAAAGTGTGCACCTGGAGTAATATCAATGCTAATAAAAACAGTCATTTTTAACTGCGGTAACAGGTATTACAGGTTTTTTATTATAACAAGTAACGGACGTACAAGTCGTGCGCCTGGTGTTAAGCGACACGCCTATCCATAGTAATTGCAGAGGTGCTACTCAGAGCAAGCGCAAAGATCTGAGGGACACTGCTACTGCGCCTGTCACCCTGAGACATACGTTGATAAGTCTCATATGCCTGTAATTTGTTAGTCCCGTCACTTGATATTATAAAAATAAATGTGGCATTCTCGTTCTTCATCTTGGCTTGGGCGGGTTTACCGATATGGTATCGATGGGGTCGTAACACTATAAAGTAGAAGTCATATTTTTACAAAACTACCGCACAGTCATTTTTACTTGACATGTGCGAAATCATCGTTTATTTCGATGGAACCATAGCTTTTAAAAGAAGAAAAAGACTTCCCTAGACAAGCTCTTTCACAAGGAGCTCTACTGCTACTAAAAGGTAAGTATCAAAGTATAGTAGGTAAGCTATTTAAAGGTTTAAGTTATTAAGGCTGTCTCCGTTTTACGATGCACACAGTCATTAAAGTTGTTTTGATATTCCAAACATTGCCCAGAAATCCATATAAAAAGTTACATATTAAAACACATTGTAAACTATACTCACAGGTCCAATAGCTTCAATGATAATTTTGTCAAAAGCTTTCTTCAGTGGGTCTTTGGGCAGCAGTGGGCGACGAGGATACACTTCGTCCAGGTACTCAACAGTCACAAGGCTCTCGTAAATGCAAACATTCTCTGCAATTTCTAGCGATGGCACCTTCGCTATAAAAATTAATTTGATAAAATTTATCATTTTAGAGTCACCGTAATATACAATAAATAATTTTAAACAGAAATTTATCTTTACACTCATATTTAAAATATATGAACGTTACATAGTACATTCGGGCGCAGGCTAGATTTACAGACCCATTTTAAACTGCAAATTGAAGTTTATGCAAGTTTCACAAGAATTTACGTGATATAATTTTCAACTAATAATTTTGAGACAACTATTCTTTTAATTGTAGCCCACTCGTACAAGGTTATGAGCACTTAAAACTCAGATTTAAATTCAACTGTATGTCACTTACGAAAAGAACTATTCAAAGTCCAAAGTATCAAACTTGATGTGCTCTTGACTATTTTTATTTGAATCGTCCCTTGATTAATTTCCCTTACCGAAGTAACTTTTTGCTGTCAACCATTCAGGCTTATTTTTCAAGTCGATGTTAACTACTTCATAGTCCAACTGTTTGGCGTTCAATGCTAAGATAGTCCGCTGGGCATAAGGGCAGTACCGCATGTTATAGACGCGCAATTTCCCATTGAATGGCGGAAGAGGATCCCCTAAAGTTAATACAAATATATTATCAACAGATAACAACAACATATGAAAATGAAATCAACTACATGTTCTACAACCACTGTTTCTTCTAGTCACCAAAAAAGAACTGCTAAATGGCTAACAGTGATTGTAAGCGCCTTACAAAAATTTACGAGACATTCATTATTTATAGAAATTTTAAAAAGAAGGCGCTAAGTTTTGTCGTCAAGGCAGTTTTCGAAATCCATGATGTATATAGGCAGACAGGCTATATTTAGATTATCGAATTTACATAATTCTATGCAGAAGATTGCTTTTCGTCGAATACCACAAATATAATATTATAAAAATATTCGTTTCACTTACCTTTCTTGAGATGCTTTGTGTTGAAATTAATTTTTTTAATTCCTTTTAACGCTTTAGAGCCCATGTTGCGATAAGGTAGCACAAGTTCGAGAACCTGAGTTAGTGGTGTGAACACCCTGAACGACGACACTAGAATGTGCACGGCGAAACTAAGTGTTGACAGAATCATACTGTATAAGTTATTTATCAAATCATGCAATTCACTCACTTATCTATTGAAACTCATATAACCATTATCTCACACTCATATCACAATGACAGGCACTTATTTCTATATCACCCTAAATTTTTAATATTATTTTGTTACTAGATGATTAGTCAATAAATGTTTAAAGGTAAAATACAAATTGCGTGCAACAACTCTTTCTTGTTTTATTGTTCATTCGATGACCTTGACCTTTTTGGCGGCAAATTCATTTTGGTGAAAACCAAACAACTGTAATTTTTACTGTACCAACAAGGTTTTATTTTATATGATAGATAATAACATTCCTAACAACGTTTATTCTTGTATAATTTCTTAAAAAGTTAATAGTTTCGGAGAATTTTTTTTTTTGTATGGAGAAATATACATTTTATTTTTTATCTCAAAATATACGAAAATGTAATGTGCGTGGGTTACTTACAGTATAGTTTCAATCATTTTCTATGTAGAAAAAAATAATCCGTCTGCATGTACTTGGGTCGTTTTCAGATAACCTCCAAAAATTTGTCCCTTTCAATAAGTTTTATGTTATTACATGAATGCTAAGCATTATTTATTTAATATAATTGCTTGCTTACTTAGTCTGTGTTACACATAAAAATACTACTTTACTACGTCACAATAATAAATAAAAATTAAAAAAGTGGGCGATTTCTCATTCATGGGAGCCGGTTTCACGTCACCCTAATTTTGAGAAAAAAAGAAAAAAATTAAACACTCGTTTAAATCGCAGTATTTCTCATCGAGGATAAACTCTAATAACTTACATGTCGAATACATACCGTAACTTTCCAATTTATTATAAACAAACATGTTTTCTTGGGGATACAAAATGTGTTTCAATTTTTCTTATCATTAGTGTCAATTCAATTAAAAGCCTCCTAATAATAAAAGTTCACACCGCATCACCTTCACCTTTCGCGCACGTGAGAAGGGGCTCCTGTCGGATTGGAGTGTACACAGTGAAGTAACCTGTGCATCTCCGTTTTAGCAAAAAATCGACTCAAATACCAAGTTCAGCGCTAGTGACTAAATCGTTCTCATTCATGTAAAGCAATCTATCTAAATAAGTATTAAGTAATAATTTTATAAACTTTATTGTACATTATTTAGACAAAGGGAATTTTAAAATCCATGCACTTTTATAACGGTCCAGCATATTTTACACACTTGACAATTAAAAATGTATTCAAATACCATTAATGTCGCTCTCATTCTTGTCTACTTTTAAGTCAAGTAGTTACTTTAAGCCAAACATTTACTTGAAACATAACAATTAGATGGTGACAGTGGTGTCGATGATGGTGATGACAATGATGACGATTGTAGTGATGATGACAATGATTGTGATGATGATGTGAATGGTAATGATGCTGACAATGATGATGATGATGATGAATGATAATAGTGATCATGATGATTAAATGTTGACGGTGGTGATGATGATATATTCATGTACAACAAAGTTTATATGACGTTAACAAAATACTTATTTAGATTTATTTATTAATTACATATGGATAGATAGATGGTCTTACACGGATGAGAAGGATTTTTATACAGGAAGTTATATTGAAATATTTATTACATTGATAAAATGTGTGTTGTAATAATAATTTCTCATTACTGCGTCTTTCTCATTTATGTTTATGAGAAAATGATTCGTGTTACTGCAATCTCATTCGTGTGACCTAAAAATCGTTTTTTTTTGTTTTGTTGTATTTAACTTAAATATTTCTGTGATTTTATAATTATTGACATTGCTTGAACTTTTTTGTACGTTTAACACCTTAAAACCAAAAGAAAAAAGGGTTTTACAAAAATCACTCTAAAAGTGCCATTGAAATCCAGAAAGTGTAATCACCCACTTGCGGTTTTGTAAATAAAGGAGCGGCAAAATTGCTAACTCTTTTATGTACTTTTTCAACAAAATACATGAGCTTCGAGTAAAGAAAACTTAATTTTAGTGTAATTTAGAGAATGTTATAACAATAACACGAAAGTTAAGTAGAAACTAGTATATTGTGTTAAAATATAAATAACAAATCTAAAATTTTGGCACGTTTTTACTCGCAAAAGCCGCAAGTAACCTGCAAATGGATTATTTTTTCCTTGATAGAGAATGATTGGACCTATACTGTGAATAAACCACACACATTACATTTTCTACATTAAGAGATAAACAATAAATTGTCTATTTCTCCATACAAAAAAAATATTTTTTTCTCTGAAACTATCAACTTTTCAAGAAATTATACAAGAATAAAAGTTGATACAAATGTTATTATTTATCATATGAAAAAATCAGCTCTGTATTCCTAAAATTGTTCCCATGATTAAACTAGTTGGACTACGCAGATGCACCACGAGCAATAAACGGTCTCTGTATATAATGATCCGCTAACATTTAAAGACACTGTATCATCTACACGTCCGCAATAGCCGTATCTTCAAGCATGATACTAACTCGGTTCGGTATATTTCGAGCAGATATACTTACATTTCTCCAAATCTGAATTATTAACGCGCCGAACATTTTGAAAAAAATTTGAATAACGTTTACTTAAATTTCTATTGAATTGATATTCAATTTCTTTTTTTGTGAAATTACTCCACTAGTTTGTTATAATTATTAATGCAAAGATCGAACACTTAGAAAAAAATCCTCCGATCCGGCCGGATTCGAACCGACATCTTCTAGTAAACCCTGCCAGACGCTATGCCAACTAAGCCACGGAACGAAGCAGCGGACCTCACGAATTTTTCTATGTGCTTGGTTGGTTTTGTCGGATCTTTGTAGTTGGTTTTCAACGACTTTTAGCCATAGCGCCATCTATGAGAAATCTATGAAAGTATTTCGTCACTCAGTTAGATACCTTTACAGCCTACCAGGCCGGGCTAGAGGATATTTACTGTTCCTATTAATTTTTTTAAATTTTTAATTGATATTCAATTATTTTATATCGTTTACTTGTTAGACTAAAATGCTCAGAACTTCCGTTCCTTAAATACACCGGTGTGCATCTTAATCATTGGTAAGCCAGTTCTTCTATGTGTATTAGTCTAGTAATTAAACTACCTTGCCACTTCTGTATTCTGTATGGTGTCTTCCTCCGGGACTCTTCCTCTTAAAAACGAACGGTAAAAACCGTTAATAAATTGAAACAGTTTACGGAATTCAGCTAACTACTGTAGGTATATATATAATATATATTAAACAAAAATAGCAAAAAAAAAATTAAAAGAATTAATTCTTGATAGTTATGCAGACGGCAGTAACCATTAGATAAAATTGCCAATTCAAATTTCACTTAAGTCGAAAATTAGTCTGATGTTTAGTCAACTAAGACCACCACAGCTCAGTTTGAATAACTAAGGCTCATTTACGTTGCCATGGACGGAATTGAAGCAAATTTTTGTAACGAAATACTGCATGATATGTACCTATAATGAACATTGTATTTGTGACAAAGAAACAAACTGGACATGAGCCAAAAAATAGGTCGCGCGTCTTTCGGGGAATTCTCGTGCTGCTTAGGAAGTACGTTACATAATTGACGTAAAGTTTATTATGCTATGTATAAAAAAATCAGTTACCCTCCATTCCGCAGTGAATTGAGCCTAAAACCACACCACGGACACTTCATGAAATCATCATCATCATCAACACATTTATACGTCTCACTGCTGGGCACGAGTCTCCTTTCAGATGAGGGTCTCAAAGAGGTGTGGCTTCATGCAATGGTAGAAAATTATTTACCTACTACTACTACGTACCTACATACAGCAAGGCGCTGCTGCCTGCACACACGTAAATGTGTGCGTGAACTTGTAAGTTATCCATCACTTTCCTGAACTATTTATTCTCTGGTTTAACGTACACAGTGGCTTTATAAGAGCAAATGAATGTACAAAACATGAACAATACGTACACTAATTATTTTATTTATTAAATACTAATACAACAGTAAATTACAGCAGTCAAGTTAAATACAGTTAAATAAGTAGCTTAAAGAAACTTAAAATATTATTATTTTAAGCAATTAATTATCTTAATAAGATAAGATAATATAACATATATTACCTACACTAAATTAAAAATCTTGAAGTAACCTGATAAAATTCGAAATTTAAACATCAAAATCCTTAGCGAACGGCTCGCTGACAACCTTGTAGCTGTTCCGCCAATGCACAGACTATTAGATGCTAACGCATGCGCCAATGTCACCGTCAATATAAGGGGCGCGTTGTGGTATCTAAGTCTAGGGAGGGGCGGAGATGACCTTTCTCGTTAGGTGTTATTCTCTGATAAAAAACTATTGACCCGAGTACTCGCACCAGCCGCCACACCTCTTTGTGATAACGAGGGAAACAGTATATACACACTTATCTATGGAGGGAAATGGGAGAAAGACACATGGTCAATCAGAGAGAAGGCAATGTTACCATTTGCAAATAACAGTCAGGTTACAAAGTTCTCCAAAATAAAATTTTGTAAAAAAAATTTCAATTTCTATCTCAGATTGTATGTGTGTATGTATTTTATTTGTTTCAATTTTATTGCTTTAAAAATTCGTAACCCATTATACGTATACCCTACTGCTGAGCAAAGGTCTGCTCTAAGGAGAACGCTTAGGCCATAGTCCGCCACGCTAGACCAATACGGGTTGGGGCCAAGGCTATATTGCATTATTCAAGTTAGCGACTGACAAGTAATCACTAGTAATATTGCATGCAATCATCTCACCCGCTGCGCTGCGCAATTTACAATACTATAGTGTTTTAGTTTGATTTTCGTGTTATTTATCTTTATTCCTATTATTATTTATCTTGAAAAAACGAAAATGCACACTTAATCACACATATACACTCACACACACACACACACACGTAATCTAATCTTAAATATAAGTTTTATCTTGTTTGTAGTATGTATTTTTTACCTAGTGAGTAGAACTTTTGTGTCCTGAGGTGGAGCCTGGAGAACTGTCACACAGGTGTTAACACCTATAGTAGTGTGGATTCCAGTCTCTTACTAAGGTTTTTAGTAAAAGTTCATAAGCTATTTATAAAGTTATGTAAGGACTTGTTAGGAGGCAACAAAGATTATTATATCTTGTCTAGCAAAATGACCCTAGGTACAGTCAGTATTCTGGTAATATTGCGCATCTTACTCATGTGAACACAACACAATGATCTTACTATATATATATATATATATATAATTTATATATATATATATATACACATTTTACGACTAATGTTAATTAGGTAAGCAGACATGTTTTATCTGATGTAGCTACTTATTATTTCTTATTAATATACAGGATAAAAATAAATTAATTAAAAAAAACCTATTTTAAGGCAGTATACTATATAATAAAAAAAATTTTAATATAAAAATTTAATATTTAACAATATTAAAAAGTAGTATATTTTTATTTTGAAATGAATAGAAATTTGTCCGAAAATAGTGCAATATCACGATGACGATCGATTGACGCGGTCCCCATGACGACACAAACACCATAACAGCGTCTGATTTTCCCGCGTAATCAATTTTATTCCACGGTTAATACTTGTTTATGTTGATGGCCTGTTCCAAAAACCAATAACAAAAATATTCCACGTATTATTATAATTTAAATCACTTTCACAGTCTTAGGTCCTTCAAAATAACAGCAACAGTTGAACCATAACTGTTACGTGGTGATTTGACCTTTTTGTTACTGAACCATAACTGTTACGTGGTGATTTGACCTTTTTGTTACTGCGTATAATGTAAGGGTTTCTTAATATTTCATAAATTAAAAACACAGAGCAACATTGTAAATAACTTGTACTTTATTATTTAAGAATTTATTGTATACAGTAGTGCCGAGAGGGCCACATATTAAAATACAGCTTAGTATACTTTAATTTGTGACCGTAATAAGTACATATTTTTTAAATACTAACTGGGTCGGAATGTGGTTCACTCCTTCTTCTTCCTAGGACGCATACAGCATACCGCACTGGTATCGAGCATATTGTAGTCAGGATCGCCCTTGGCGCGCGACTCAATGAATTTGGCATGAGTTTCTGGAGCCAAGGCATACGCTTTTACAGCGGAAACATTCTTCATATCCTCTATGTAGGTGCTCTGTAATGAGTATCGGAAATTACTGTGATGCATACCTAGAACGAAAGATGTACAATTGGATCGGCCTAACGATGCACAATCAGGGCCCATACGATACTAGATTCTTTGCAAACAAATTTCAATGTACAGGGTGTCTATTAAGTGAAGTCAAACCGGAACGGGGATGTCCAGGAGGTCATGGCCTACAAAAAAGTCCATGGTACTATGGTAATATTCCCAACGGGTTTTTTTTTAATTAAAGATTTTATACACATTACGATTTATGCGCTTTAACACCTTTGGCCGCGACTGTACACAAACATAATTGTCTTATTGTACCATTATTTTTATTATCTTAAATCAACCTGCTTTTTAATGAGCCTTGTATTAAATTATAAAAATTATTTTTAAAATATCAAGAATTATGAAAAATCAATTTTTTAATTACTTGAATGGGTGGGTTAAAAAAATTGAGAATGTATG